TACTCGAGATGAGATTATTATAATCGAGTTACATTACAATAATGTAAAAAAAAATCATGTCCTCGGCCGTGGGTCCATCATTGGTGTATCCAAGGTTAAGCTTTTAATTTTCGTGAAATAAATTAAAGACTGATTAAATAATTAGCACAGGCTGTAGACTTAATTGTCTTTAACAATTAAACAATCGAATTAACTTTGGTTAAAATAATTGGGATGAGGTGCAGACAAAAGTATTTGATGAATTACCACAAACGAGGGAAAGTTGGCCGGAAATTGTCAAGGCCTTAAAGAGATTCGAGACGATGACACGGACGGTTAAATATTGCAGAACAAAAGTGTATGCATGGTACTAATATGTATAAATAAAAAACGTCTCAGTTAAAGACGCAAGAAATAAAATTATTTAGTTTAACAAAAGATAAAATAATAAACTGGCAATCGGTGTTACTCATTTTTTTTATTTTTTTCGAAAGGGACCATCTTGCTATGACGTTCGAAAACTAGCCTACGTGATGTTAGTCACACTTTTTAAAATATATTCGTGCATAAATTAAATACTAATCAAAATAACTTTTAATAAAATATTATTTTTAAGATGGGTTTATACCAAAGTTTTTATTTTAACACACAGTAACAAATTTTTTTTCATTGTGTAGAGTGTAAAAATTTGTGCGTAGAATATTACTCTCCAGTGTGTAAAATTTCACATTCTAGTGTGTTAATTCAATACATGAGAATGTTAAATTCTATACACTAGAGTGTATAATATTCTACACACAAATTTTTACACTACACAATGATGAAAAATTTTTTATTATGCAGTAATTGCTAACAAACAAATGAAAATTTCTACATTTTTTTTTCCGAGAAATTCAAATTTCAATGGACTCATTTATCATACTTCGTGTTTTGTAATAATTACTTAGATTTGATATTCAAATTTATATTAAACGACATATAACTTTCTTAATTTTCTTTTTTTGTTTATGAATTTTATTAGTTTTTTGATTAATCTTTCTAAATTTGTTTTAAATATTAAAGTTTACTATTTAACTAAATATTTTTTTTTTTTTTTTTTTTCAATAAATTAAACTTTATCTTTCAAGATCTTTGTTAAACATTTTTTCACCTTAAACGAATCTCGGTACATAAGATTGATTATTTTTAAAAATTAAACCTAAGTGAAGTTTTAAAAAAATCAACATTAAGATCATGAATATAAAAAAAAGTTTAACATTATTCACGAAACAGGTCATGGACACTTTGCTGATCTTAAAAATCTTCAATTACACTCATACTAAAAATTTAAGTTCAACATAAATATCATAAATCAAATAAAATTAAAAAATTTATTACTTAAACTTAAAAAATCATGTCTTTTTTTCTTCATTGATAGCGCACATAAAATATATCGAGTATCGAGGCTTAAAGTATGAGGTAATACTCGTACTTATAAGTTAAACATAATTGTAATAAATAATAATTAGCGTATATACTGTAAAAATGTACATTTACATACAGCTATTTCATATTCATCAATGAGTCACAGCAAAGCCAAATGTAAAAATGAAGAGAAGGAAGAAAATAAAAGAAAAGAAATGAAAAAAGTTTTAAGTAATCGAGAAATGAAGGTTTATAAACGCTCCAGTTTGATAATTGAGGATTTCCGGTGATGAGTTACAAATAAATATACAACAATAACAGGGAAACACAAACAATCGTATTGATTTTAAAATATTCAAATTGCCGACCGTAATATAATTAAAAAGCATACATTCATATAATTAAAAACTCATTTGTAATGAATCCGACAGTTAGAAATATTAAAATTACAAAGTTACATTAAAATAAAATTACAAAAAAGTTTGTGAAATTTTTTTTTTTTTTTCCCAAGTATTGCCTTAAGCGTATATTGTATTATTTATTCTATTTCGTCTATTTATTAAATTACGTAATAAATTTATTTAATGAAATATTCTCGGGACATTTATTTTGAAAGATATTATGTATTAAATAATATTTTAATGCCTATCACATTTATAAATTTATTTGAGTACGCTCCGAAACATTTTTTTTTTTTTTTTTTTTTTTTTTTTTTTTTGAGAGTTACTATATATATTTGACGAAATAAACGTGATTACGAAATAGGTTGTTAACATTGGTGGATGTTAGTGTCCAAACAGGTTTGCCCTTTAAGATTAAACAGCACGTAATTTTTCTAATGGTACTTTTTGATGATAGTATTTCATCGGGATAAAAATGTCAATATATTTAATTGCTCTTTATTATTTATAATAATTATTATTAACTTTAAAAGAAATTATTTGTTAAAAAAGTGACTACATAAATCAGTTAGTGTTGTTTTTTTTTTTGTTTTTTAATAGTTACATTTTTTGAACTACATAGAAATGAGGATAATGGTGATTAATTTTGAACAAAAACCATTATTTAACTGTTTGCTAATAAATAAATATTTTAACCCATTTATTTTATTATTAAAATTTTTCACGGTGTGAATAAGATGAGTGACTTTTTCTCCGTCGTACTATTATTTATGATGAGTGATAAATGAGGAATTTGAAAAACAATGACATACTTTGACTTTGTTGAAAGTTTATACAAAGAGTTAAAACTTAATTACATGGATTTGAGTCGCCTTTGTAAAATATGTTAAATTGTGACGTAAATAGTCAAATTTATGCTAAAAAATGTTTCACAAGAAGAAAAAAACTTGAAAAGTTCTTTATTGTAAAATTTTATCACAATTTTTCACGAAGAAAACTTTAACCTTGCACCTGGCAATGTTCGATTTATGGCTATTACTTCGCTCTTATCGTTGTTATTAACGGAAATTGTTCAACGTTTGACGAAGGCAAACACTAGGAAAATAATAAAAAATATTTACCTGTGGAAATTTTTCTAAACTAGATTATTGGGACTTTTCTTTTGAAAAAAATCTTTAACCACACGATATACATCTTTATATCTATATATTTATGTGTGATACCTGTTTATGTATTTTCGAACCAAAGGTAAGACCGGGAATACCGTGACCAGGTGGTGGGAGATAGTTTTGTTAATGTTTCACGGGAGACAGAGTAACTCCCATAAGTGGGACATACACTCTAACATCCCCGTATTTCGTTGTGAACTCGCGATCAGTTCGGATCATTTTACTCACCTCAAGTGAATTTGAAAAATAAAGTACAATTATTTTATACAAAAAAGAAATATTATTAAACCGCTATTGTAACAAAGGATCATTGGAATTTTTTTTTTTCTTCATTTTGAGAATACGAATTTTCATTGTAAGTTTTATTTTTTATTTTAAATACTAACAATTTATTAATTTAATTTATTAATTAACAGGGTAAATTAATTGATAAAAAATATTTTAATGTATCGGCCTGATGAATTTTCCTTTTAATTAATTATTTATATTTAGTTTGTAAGTTATTAGATTTATAGCAACTATATTAGACTATAAGTAGGCTTGTACTTATAATTAATTAATGTTTTATTAATAATTATAGATTTTTAACTATCAATTACTAATTATCATCTTTTATGAGCTGAGAATGTAGAAAGCTCTGGTAATTTTAGTTTTTTTTAAGCACCTATACAGCCGATTCATTATACTATGAAGAACACGTGTAACTAAACCCATCACGCATCACTATTTGGTCCGACATACTTTCATAAATATTAGAAATCCATCTCAAGACCGACCAAATCAAATGATCAAGCAGTTTTACTGTTTTTTAACTGAAATTAACTATTTATGAGCGTGTGATTAATAAAATTATTAAGCAATTTTATAAATTACTAATTCAAATTTTTGACTGTCACTAACCGAAAATAAAAATGTTTTAATTAAATAGATAATTTATATAATCGTTAAATTTACTAAAACGACTTTTTCATAATTTACATATTCGATTTAATTATTCTCTCTCTCTCTCTCTATCGAATAATTTATTTAAATATTTATATTCGAATTATGTTATATATTATTATTTTCTTTCAATATTATAATACGTAAGTTTTTATTATCAACTGGACAGCAAACAGAAACAATTATCGATAACAATAAAAGATAGCAAAAGTTAATTAGACTCGTTATCGCGAAAAAGCACGTATGCTTGTTTGGTTTTCCTCTATGTATAATGAAAAATTTTTTATTTAAAATTTTCTAAAGATATAAATTAAGAGATTTGTAAATAATTACATCTAACGGAATATTTAAGTCGACAATAATTTGCGACAAAATGAGATAGAAAGTCAATAAAAGTAAAATAATAATAAAGAGCTGTCTGATGGAAAAAAAAATTAATATGTGAATTAAGTGGAGATCGACCTGAAAAGCGCCATTGACCTCGATCTTCACTCAGAGTAGAACCCGTTTACGTTCTTGTCTCTCTGTACAAGTTCTCTTTTCTTCTTTTTATACATAGAGATGTGTATACATTATTGTACGCTGTCTTTACTTCTTCCTCATTTCACTCCCGGTCCTCCCTCCCTCCAAACCTCCACTTGATCATATCTCGTGCTCGATAATATAACGGCAAGTCCCGTTTACTTCGTTCATTTATATTATATTTTCTCTCTAATTCCATCTATGCAGATGACGTCTTATCATTTTTATTTTCACCATATAATTTTAACGTCAATAAACAATAATTACATCTTTGGTATTTATGTTTTCTATTATCCTATAGCAAGTGTCGTTATCCTAAAAATAAAATATTAAAAAAAAGTATAATTATTCTAATAAAATGTTAAAATATTTTAATAATTCAAGTAAAACCATTAAACTGACCTTTTGTTTCTGACCTTTTTTTTTTTTTTATGATTATGTTGAAATAAATTTTAATGTAAATGTAGCCACCAAATTTCTTCATAGAATTTATAATTGAATTTGTTACAATATCTAAATCAAGAGATTTTTTTATATTAAATAGTATAATAATATATAATGTTATATTATTTACAGATAAATAATGGCGCCGAATCTTTTTGGCAATTCGGCGACCCTTTTTTTGGAGGCATCACAAAATGTTGCTCAGGATAAAAAAATAGATGTAGATATTAAAAACAATAAACCAGTTAAAGTAGCAACCAAACAACCAAAAGCAAGTGATAAAAGTAGTAATAGCGATAATAAAGATTACAAATGGAAAATTGTATGGAGAAACGTTATCGCATTTGTTTATTTACACGTTGGAGCTCTTTACGGCTTGTATTATTTAGTTACCAGTGCTAAGCTTGCAACATTTGCCTGGAGTAAGTACCAAAAAATTATCACAATTGTAAATTAATTTAAAATTAAATTTGAATAAATAATAAAGTTATTTAAATTACTCAAGTGTTGGGGCTTGGATTTTTCGCCGGAGTTGGAATCACAGCAGGTGCTCACAGATTATGGGCACACAAAGCGTATAAAGCTAAATGGCCCATGAGAGTTCTTCTCATGATTCTGCAAACTGTCGCCTTTCAAGTAATAACTTCTACCAAAATTATAATAATTAATCATCATCATCATCATCATCATCATTTTCTAATATTAATAATTACTTGCAGAATCACATCTATGAATGGGTAAGAGATCACCGTGTGCATCACAAATTCACCGACACAGATGCTGATCCCCACAATGCTAAGCGCGGATTCTTCTTTTCACACATGGGCTGGCTTTTGATTCGTAAGCATCCAGATGTTATTAACAAGGGAAAAACAGTTGATATGACAGATCTGGAACAAGATTTCGTTGTTGTTTGGCAAAGAAGGTCTGTGTTGTATTTACAATTATTTATCAAACAACTTATTCAATACTTGACCTCCAAATTGATTGAAAATTTTTTTCTAGACTCTACCTGATTCTGATGCCAATCTTCTGTTTTTTGATTCCAACTTGGATTCCAATTTACTGTTGGAACGAAGTACCCTTGTATGCTTGGTACGCAACTATATTCAGGTACACATTGTCGCTTAATCTCACATGGTTGGTCAACTCCGCTGCTCACATCTGGGGAATGAAGCCTTATGACAGGTAAGTCTTTATTAATTTCAGTAAAATTAACACTCATTTATTTTTAACGTGTTTCTTTTTTTCTTCCAGCTCAATTAGTCCCACGGACAATTTCAAGATTGCTCTTGGAACCTTCGGAGAAGCTTGGCATAACTATCACGTTCGTACCTTTTTTTTTTTTTTTTTTTTTTTTTTTGGGTTATACTTATTTGCTAACATATTTTGATATTAACATACTTTGCACTCTTGTGCTGCTTGAAGTATATACTCATTATTTACAGTATTAAAATTTAAAATTATTCTACAGCACGTTTTCCCATGGGATTACAAGGCGGCTGAACTCGGAGATTACAGCGGCAATTTCACGACTGCATTTATAGACTTTTTCGCTTACATCGGCCAGGCTTATGACCTCAAAACCGTCCCGAAAGAAATGATTGAAAAGCGTGCTGCTCGTACTGGCGATGGTTCAAGGGTCGCTCAAAATCCCAGTGAACATTCCCACGAGGGAGCCATCTGGGGATGGGGTGACGCCGACATGTCGGCTGAAGATATGAATCTAGCTCAGATCATTAAAAAGAGTGATTAATCGATTTTAGATTATTAATTATCACTTTTATACTAATAAGTAACAAGTAATAAGTAAATAAATTATTCATTAGAAATTTTTATCAAAACTACTTTTCGGCACAAAGTAGAAAATTTTATTCAGATAAATATTTTTAAGTTGTGAAGAAATAATTATTATTACTATTATAGTAACACCAAGTACTTAAAGTCTGCGATATATATTTACTTAAAATAAATTTCAATACGCAAAATTTTTTAATATACTATATTGTATGAGTATGAATTAAGAAGATAAAATATTCATCACGTCTTCCGGTATATTATTATATTTCTGTTATTGATATAGATGTTTAAATAATGTATATTTAATAGGGAATTATTTCCCTAAAATTTTTCAATATTATTTTAATAATAATTATTATTATTATTATTATTATTTCTTTTATAATTATTCTTATTGTTACATTATAAATATCAATTTTTTTTTTCACTCTGTGAATAAAATATTGTAGAAATATATATATAATAATTTTGTTAATTAAATTACAAAATTACATGATTGTTTAATTAAATTTTTGTTATTATGTATTGTATATTTTTTAACACCCGAAAATGTGAATATAAAAATATAATAACTTTTACAATGTATTTATGAATAAATTATTACTATAAAATAATCCGATTAGGTTTTTATTACCCGTAATTACTTGATACTTTTTTAATTTAATAAACTCTCTATCAATTTATTTTTAGAGTTTTATGGAGTCACAATCTATGTAATACATATAAAAATGATAAAATATTTTTTTTATTATTATTTGCCGAAATTTATATATAATTACACATGGAATTTGTCTATAATTATGTTATGTAAATTTGTGTAAGACATTAAACTTGATTCTTGACAGTTTATTTTTATGCGCGTGACCTTCACACCGTATCTACTTAAACAATTTCGCATTTTTAAGAGCGAATAACGATGTTTTCAAAGATGTTGAAAGTAACCAGAAACTCGAGCTAAATATTAACAATTTTAAAATTATACAAATAAACAATTTAAATACGGAAGAAAAATATTTGAATTCACCCGTTAAAGTATTCGCGATTGCCGAGACGTCATCATCATGATAAATATAAATTAATTAACTCATTACTCCATTCAAATTGACCCTAATTACATTCAATTCAAATTTAAGATTATAATTACAGTGTAAAAAAAATTTTATTAAAATATTTTTATCTGAAAATTTATCTGATTTTTCATCAAGCTGTCAAAATATTAAAGAAGAAATAATATTTAACTTGATGCGTTTTTCAGCGCATCAACAAATCACTCAATTTATCTTAAAGACATTTTAAAACCTGTTTGTAAGCTTACGTTACGTGCATCAATAAGAATAGTGGGGTAATAGGGAACTAGATGTGAGTTTAGTTGAGTTTTCTATTCGTGTCATAGCCAACAGGTTTCAATTTCGTTTGGCAATTTGAATATTTATATCGATGTTATCGTTAATAAAAAAATAAGTTTCAAAATAAATTCTAACATCTAACAAGGAATAATTTCTAACAAGGAATAATTTAGTCAAAATTAGTAGATTTAAAAAAAAATTACAATATTATAAAAAAAAAACGTGAGAATTGACAGAGAAAGTGAAACGTAGCGTAATTTATACTTGCGCTTATATTACAATATATAAAAAAAATCGTGACATGACTACAGCCGAATGGCAGTTTCACTTTATTTAAGCTAAGAGTGTTAATACAAATATTATACAGAGTAAATTTACACTGAAAAATCAAAGCCTATTCATCAAATATTTGTTTAAAAGTGTTGCTAAATTTATTTTTTAAATAACGTAAAAAAGTGGGTTAACGTTACTTAATAATTACGTGAATTATGTAAATTTATTGTCAAAAAAGGTGATAAAAATAGGAGAAAAACTATTTGTGATATAATAGCGAGTATTTTTTAAATACGTAATTTAAAAAAAAGCGCGTAGTTTCAACGCGTGCGCAATAAAAATGACGACGAATTATAATACAAATGAGGAGGTCAATGAATTCCAGTGTGACAACATACAGAAATTACAGATTGAAAATATCCGACTCCGAAGAAAAAGTTCGCGTAGTAGTTTACTTATAGGTTGCTCATTTGGTTTCTCAATATTTCTTACATTTCTTTGCTGCATTTTAATTAGTATTATTTTACTGATTTATCATAAAAGTGATTTTTGCGCTTACATTCAAGGTGAGAAATTTTATTTTCACATTAAAATCTACTATTATTATTGGATAATATTTAACTTTGCAATACAACAATTGTTTTCCGTACGGCTGAAGATTTTGTTACGCGCATGCGCGTCGAGTATTTTATGGCGCGAAATTTGAACCATCCAATCCTTAAATATTTATTTCTAATAGTTTTGTTGCGTTTTAAAATAGTAAATAGAAATGACGAGTGTTCTTAATTTGAAAAAAAAATTTATTTGTTTAGAATTTTAATTAATTTATTATTTGTAATCAGAATGAGCGTGTTATTATGTCGGAATTTAATTACAAAATTACCTCGAGCGATAAGATTGAAAAATTTGAGATTTTTATCTGTTTTAAATAATAAATGTATATCTAAATGTTATCACATCAATATTATTGGTATGTATCAGGTGTATATTTAAGCATGGTACTGATACATTTAATTAAATGACTAATTAAATTTTTAAATGTAAATTTTTATTAATATAACTTTTGAAAAATTTTTTCAGATCCAAGTAACCCCGATAGGTACTGCAAAATGGCTTACAAAGAGCAAGAACGATCGGAATTATCATTCCGCTTGCCGAAAGAAGTGAAGCCACTTCATTACGACTTGTATCTCCATCCAAACTTAATTGATGGGACCTTCAAAGGCCACGTGACGATTTTAATTGACGTGATGGAGGTGAAAAATTACATCGCTTTACATCAGAAAGATCTCAATATTACGAAAACAACACTAAAATCTTACGACCGTAATGAAAACTATGAAGTAGCGATAAGAGATACTTATACCATTGAAAAGTTGGAGATACTGGTTGTTAGTTGCAATGATAACCTACCGATTGGTGTCTATCAGCTGTATTTTGAGTTCAATGGGGCATTACAGCCGGATAAAATCGTTGGATTTTATGCTAGTACATATAAAGATGATAATAACGCCACTAGGTATACCTTGAATTTATTATTATTTATTGTTTTCTGTAGAATAGTACTTCAAAGTAAATTGAATTAAATTGGCTTTTATTTTTATTGAAGAACAATCGCTACTTCAAAATTCGAGCCGACTTACGCTAGAAGATCATTCCCGTGCTTCGATGAGCCGTCATTTAAGGCTGAATTTACCGTTAAGCTTGTTTATCCTTCCACTGATTGCTATGGAGCGCTTTCCAGCATGAATCTTGAAGTAATTTATACTTTTTTTTTTTATTATCCAATAAAATAAATTTATTCAAGCTTCAGATATTTGATTGATACTTTTTTTTTTTTAAACAGAGCACTGTAACTGATCAACCGGAACCGGGGATGACAACAGCAACATTTGCCAAAAGTGTGCCAATGTCTACATATCTGATGTGTTTCATCGTGAGTGATTTTGTAGCAGTAACCGCGCCTGCTAAAAAATTAGACCCCAGTAAGAGTTTTCCAATCAGCGTCTACACTAGGAGAGCTCAAAAAGAACGCGCGGCTTTTGCATTGGACATAGGAGTTCAAATAATTGAAAATTATACCAAAAAATTCAGCATTGACTTTCCCTTGCCCAAATTAGGTATGTCATTTACTTTTGGTAATAATTCGTCAATCTGCTTCGTAATTTGAGGCTGGTTGTAGCTTTAGTATAAATAAGTATCAATTATCTTGATGAAGTGGGCTGACACTGCGGTTCAATTAAAGATTACATTTGAAACTAGTTGACAAACTAATTTAATTATTATGCGAAAATAGATATGGCTGCGATACCAGACTTTGTATCCGGTGCGATGGAAAATTGGGGTTTAATAACATATCGTGAAGCGCGACTGCTCTATGATGATAAAACAAGCTCTTCGGATGATAAGAAGAATGTTGTACTAGTTATTGCTCATGAATTTGCGCATATGTGGTTTGGAAATTTAGGTAAAGTAATTACTTAATGATAAACTATTATTGGTATTAATTGTAAATTAATTAATGATTGTTGATAAATTTATTTTTCTATATTTCAGTAACTATGAAATGGTGGAATGATTTATGGTTGAATGAAGGATTTGCGAGCTATATGCAGTACAAAATTTCCGATCAAATTCTTCCAAATTGGAAATTAGTAAGTACAGTATTATTACTTTTTAAAATAATTATTTAATAATTATATTTATTATTTACAGATGGATAGTTTTTTAACTTCTACACTTCATAGTGTACTTGTGACTGATGCTAAATTAAGTTCACACCCTATAGTACAAACTGTTGATAATCCAGATGAAATTACAGCTATTTTTGATGTTATTACTTACAATAAGGTAGTGAAATTTTTCTAAATATTTATTTTAAATAGACAAATATACTTAAGAATTGAAAATTAATAAATAAAAATTTTTAGGGTGCATCTGTGTTACGTATGTTGGATAATTTTATTGGAACAGAAGCATTTGACGCTGGTATAACGACATATTTAAACCAGCATGCTTACAATAATGCAGAAACAGCAGATTTATTCAAAATTCTTCAAGAATCAACAAAAACCAACATAAATATAACAGCAATAATGGACACTTGGACTCGCCAAATGGGTTTTCCCGTAGTCAATGTTGTCAAAACAGGTTTGAACATTACATTGACGCAAAAAAGATTTCTGCTTGATCCAGAAGCTACGTGTGATCCACAAGAGTCAGATTATGGCTACAAGTGGACAATTCCGATAACATACGTCACCAGCAAAAACGACACGCCAACTCTCGTGTGGTTCGACAAAGATTCTCTGAAGTTGACGATCAAGTTATCGGAACCAGTCGAATGGATTAAATTTAATTACAAGCAAATCGGTTATTATCGTATTAATTACGACAAACAGTCATGGGAAAGTCTTTATGACGTACTGCGCTGGCACCACAAGCGCCTAAGTATCTCCGATCGTACAAATTTGATAGAAGATGCATTCAGTTTAGCCCAAGCTTCTGAGTTGGATTATTCAGTTGCGCTTGATATGACTTCATATCTGACAAAAGAGCGCAATGCAGTGCCTTGGGACGTCGCCTCCTCAATGCTACTTACTATTGACAAGTTGCTATTTTCAACAAGTATATCGTCGAAATTCCGTGATTATGTTAGAAACTTGGTTGAAATACCTTATCACGACGTAACATGGCAAGTTGACAATATCGAAGATCATGACATGCTGACATTACGTCGTATTGTTTTAAATTTAGCCTGCAATGTTGAGCACGTCGAGTGTTTGGACGAAGCTGGGGTGATTTTCAAAAACTGGATCGATGATCCCAATGACACTAGGCCCCATCCTGATATACGTGGGTTTGTTTATAAATATGGTATGAGTCATGCCGGCAAAGAAGCTGACTGGGATATTATGTTTAACCGATTCATTAAAGAAACAAACGCCGATGAGAAACTTAAATTAATGAGAGGTTTGGCCGGTGTTAGATCAAGTTATTTGTTGAACAAATTTATTGGAATCGCTGTTGACCTTAAATATGTAAAGTCACAAGATACCTTCAATTGCCTGCTGTCAATTGCGGCCAATCCTGTCGGCGGACCTCTGGTTTGGGACTGGGTAAGAGAGAACTGGGAATTTTTGGTCAAACGATACACATTAAATGATCGTTACTTGGGTCAATTAGTACCTGGAATTGCCAAGTATTTCGCTACTGATGCCAAACTTGCGGAATTGAAAGCTTTCTTCACCAAGTACCCAGAAGCTGGCGCAGGAAAAACTCAAAGAGTTGCTGCGCTGGAAACAGTTGCCAATAATATCAAGTGGTTGAAGAAAAATAGCGAAATATTAGACAATTGGTTAAGCTCACATGTTAAGTAAATTTTTTTTGTTATTACTTTTTGGTTACATGTAATATTGCATTTAATCGTTTATTTACTAATATAATAATAATATTATTATTACTACACTGCACTGATTAATATTAATCAATCAATTATTTGTTGATTTAGTTTATTAAACTTCTATTGTTCCATTTATATTAATTAATTATAATAAAATAAATTGGAAATATTTATGTCTTTTACGTTTACCTGAAGCGTTTTTGTGATAAAATATTTATAATGTAGAACAATAAAAAATTTGATATCTTATCAGTCTTTCTCGGAGGTAAAAGTATTCTGTTAGTACTTTATATTAACGTTATATTTTTATACGCTGTATCTTTCTCGTCGTAAGAGTTTATTTTATAGTAAATAATTTAGTATCATTATGTAGCTAAATTACAGTTTATAGTTTTTAAAATGACTCGTAATAAACTATGGACGTCTAAATATTTTAGAATTATAATAGGTTGTTGTCTTCTTGGATTCGTGCTCTTTTGTACCAGTTTCGTAAGTAATTTATTATCTTTCAATAAAACCATTTATTTAAAGACATTTTTTAATAATTATAAATAATTACGTCAAAACCTCATTAAAACTTTAAATACGCTATTTTTAAACAAAATTTATATTTCTTCTACCGAATTAAAAACCTTGGAATTTTATTGGCCAATTTATAATGATAAGAGTTTACTTAAATTCCAATTAAATTTATTTTTATTAACGATAAACGTTTGTGTTCTAAAATTAAATATTAAAAAATTTGTATCGATTGTATGAATAATTTATTCTAGTTCCTGACGTAAAGATGAGTGTCAGAAGATAAATTTATATACTTCCCGAGTCAAAAAACAAATTCTAGTTTTAACCTCAAAAGCCTCAAATCCTTTGATGTTTTATTTGCCGCACAGAAAGCAACTCTACTTTAATACTCAAAATCCTCATTGAATACAACCTCAAAAGTCTCATTCAGTAAAAAGTTGTATTTTGGACTTGGAATTAAAATTTTTGCTTCATCAAAAAAATTACAAATTAACATATAACATGAGAAATATGTCACAACTTTATGTAAAAATAGTTATTAAAAAATCAAAAAAAATTTTCTAAAAGATCAGTGATAATTTTTTTATCTGACAGTATAGTTTTTGTAGCATTTGTTCGCATATTAAGTCTGTTAGGTACAAATTAATGTGACGAAACACGGAATCTTGATTTTTAGGCGAGAATTAAAGAACACCTACACTCACGTTTAAGGAATGCAATTGTAACTAAGTCATTACTAAAAGGGTTATGACAGTCAAAACAAAAATAGATTTTTTTTTTGCATTTTTTCAGAGTATATATAATAATAATTCTGTATCGATTTAACAAATGTAAAAAATGAGATTGTTACATCATACAGTTTTGGAAATATTTAATTTTAAAGTTAGAATTTTTTTAGAGGTTATACATTGCACTATAGGAGAAAAGTAATACTTCCATAAAAACTAAACTAACACTAAACAAAAACTATTAATTTGTTCGAAAAAAGGTTTCATTTATGGTGACCTTATAAATTTTTAAATATTATTAAAAAATGAGTACAATATTCGAAAATAGTCATGAGTAAAAGTGTATAAGGAATAGTAATGTAAATAATTAATATTTTCTTTATCTATCTTCTTGTCACAAAAATTTGTAAACTTAATTGACATAATTTTTAGTTAATTCAAGTGAAGCTATTTTTTGTTTACTGATAGTAAAAACAGTAATAATTGATACTTATCTCTAAAAAAATTTATTATTGACGATAATAAAACAAATAGTTTGAAAAGACTCCTCGAGATAAAAAATGCATGGTTGGAAAACAGCATTATTTCTTTCCAGCATATAGTAGGTTTCAAATCCGAACGAAAGCCTCAAAATCCTCATTGAGGAATATGAGGATCAAATGAGAATTCCAAAATATGTTTAAAGTATGTACAGTTATCATCAGAACAACTACATGCGTAGTATAGAGTAGTCGGTTAGGTTTAGGCTTATAGAGAGCGTAGAATTCCGTGTTCGAGTCCGAGCGTCGTACGATTTTAGATTAATATAATTTCGATACATAGGGAAACAAGAAAGGTAAACGTGTTAAGTATATGAAACGATAATCTGAACACTCAAATTGAAACAACAATCCCAAAAAAAAAAAAATTTTTTTGGTTTCAATTTGGCTAATTTGTTTTGATGGAATTAATTACTAAAATGTTATATGACAACTTGTACCACTGCCAAAAAATTTTACACCTCGATCACTTTGAATTTATTTTATCAGATAAAACCATTTGTTTATTTAAAAAATGCAGGGAGGATTTAAAAAACAATAGTGCAATATTCATTTAAAATTTTTAATAGTAAAATTATTGAAGAATATTTGTGAGGGTTTTGAGGTTCAAACGTGAATTCTGAAGTTCTATTTTTACCCTCAAAGTTGTAAAACCGTCCGTAAGTAGGATTTTGAGGTTCAAATCGTGTAGTGACTACTTTCCATATTGAAATCTATCTTGAAATTTCAAATTTGCCCTCAAAAACCTCACTGAGGATTTTGAGGCTCAAATTGGAATTTATATTTTGACTCGGGATTGTTTTTAAAAATTCGTCACTAAATAAAAATATCATCAGTGACAAAAGTTAAATTTAATTATCATTTTTTTATTCTTTACTCCGTGATATGTTTCAAAAATATTAATAAATTTTAAGAAGAAGTCTTAAATATTATTTATGATATAAAAGATGCCAAAATGTTTTATTTTTAAATAAATAAATAGATAAAATTCAACAGAAAAGAATACAACTACTGCGTACATACAAATTTCAATCATCAATAGCCGACATAATTGATTTGGAATTAAAGTACATGCCAAATGAAATTTACCCAGAATCAGACCATTGGATTTCAGTTCAGTCTTTAAATGGTCATATATATTCTGCGTATTTGGATATGCGACCAGAAGTCATGGTCAATAGTAATTACAATTCTCAGATGAACATTGTTTGGGCAACGATACGAGTCATCGCAATTTTACCCTCTGACACAAAATCAAACGAGGTAGTTTGCGTATTTAAATTAGAATCTAAGGACCGTGAGCTCTTTTACAAAAAAGTGACCGCAAGCGAAGTTAAATTCTTCGATGACAATTGGAAATTAAAGTATTCAAGTGCATTTATTACTTGTGATCTTACTCACGTGAGTTATTACAATTATGATCTTTTTTACGAGAAGCAGCAATTACCACAGTCTGTTGGAATTATTCGAAAGAATGCAGATAACTCTTCACTACAATTTGTAGATATAAATTACCCACTGAATGGAATCAGTCAGATGGACCGGCTTTCAGATAAATTTATGGCCCTTTGTGTTCCAGGTTTGTTTGCGAATCTCTATCTCTCGCTTTAAACTTCAATTATTCAACTCAATATTTAACTTTCATCAGCTAATTTTAATTAAAAGTGAATGAATTTATGTTTAAACTCCACCTAGTTTTTAATTTATTCTTTTTTTTGTATGAAGCTAAAGTTAGCTGACAGCTGTCAATTTTTTAAATTTTTTTAACAAATTAATTACAATAAAAAAATACTTAAAAAAATTTCCACTGATCATTTTTTTTTTAATTTTTACATGTGGAATTTTTTTCATAATTTCATTGATGAAAATTAAATTAGCCAACATCTGAAAATTTCTAAATTATAATTTTTTTTATGAAAATGAAGTTAGCCGATATTTCAAAATTTTTTATTGAAAAAATTTTAATTAAAAAATTAAAAAAAATATTTCATATGTAAAAAACTTAAAAAACTATAGGTGCAATTTTTTAGAAATATCTTTTTAGTTGTAATTTAATTAATAAAAAAAAATCAAAAATTTTTAGACGTCTGCTAACTTCAGTATCATTATTTTTTTTATTGAAAAAATTATTGTAAGAAAATTAAAAGAAAAAATTTCACCTGTAGAAGATTTGAAAAATTATACGTACAATATTTTTTTACTTGCTAACTTTATTGTCATATTTAATTGTTATAAAATTATAAAAAAAAAAATGTTTAATATCAGTTAACTTCAGCATCTATTTCTTCTTTGTATTTTCATCAGTTTTGCATCACGAATTTGATCGCCCGCTGGAATTAATCGAATTCATCGAGTACTATCGATTGATGGGAGTGAGTAGATTCGTTTTTTACAACTCATCAGTGTCAGAAGACGTCAGTGAAGTTTTAAAATTTTACCATGCCGAGCAGTATGATTTAGTAAAAATTCAACAATGGAACTTACCTGCTTTGTATACTTATGAAAAAACTCTCCGACTGGAAGGACTTTACGGTGCATTAAATGATTGTCTCTACAGAAATTCACTGCACAATTATTTTAGGTACGTCGGAGTGTTTGACGTTGATGAATTTTTAATTCCTAAAGTTCATAACAATTTCACTAGTCTTATAAAGTACTTAGATCCCTCAGAAGAAGATTATCGTTATGTGTCTTTTTTATTCCGTCATGTTTATTTTTATACAATGTACCCTGACGTCAAAGAAAATTCCGGCAAAAAAGGTAATTGAAATTAATTAAGGTTAATTAGTATTAATTGACACTTGGTGTTATTTTCTAAAATTCTAAATTAATTAGTGGTGTTTTAATTAAATTGTATCAATTATTTTAATTAATTATTAATCTAATTATTTTGTGATTGGTTTAGAATCTAGAATAATTGGTGGAAATATAAATGAAATATTTGATTTTGAAAAATAAAACAAACTTAACAAACAAACTAATTAACTATTACATTTTCTAGATCCGTATCTTTTCACGAGAGCAAAAATTCAGCGATTACGAGATCCACACCCAGCAGGTGTTAAAAGCAGATATATTATTCGAGCTCGCGATGCAGTTGAAGTCGGCAATTATAAATCTACTAAATTACTCAAAGGTACGTTCATAAATTTCACAAAGCGCTAACAAATTGAGTTGAAAGTAATGAAATTAAATTGAGAGTTTATTCATGAAATACAATTTTATTTATTTTATTGATAGCTGAGAAATTGAAAGTTTTTAATTTATAGATACATCGGGTGAAATGATTGTTGAACCTGACGTAGCTCTTTTGCACCACTATGCTCCATGCGAAGCAGAAGAAACGGGATGCTATTTGAAACCAATTGAAATCGATAGAACTGCACTTAGGTTCACTAGTGAGCTCGCTAGAAATGTTGCAATAGCATGCAGAGAAATATTTAGCAACCACAAGTGTCCTTCTCCTAAAAAACGTGTGCCTGGTGAATTAAATTCTTGAAATCGAATTCACTGTTTTATTTACTTGAAGAGAAAATGTTTTAAATTTTGATATTAAATTTCATTGTATAATATTCATTCATATTTCATTATTTTTCACTTTAATGAATATATATTTTGCTTTCATAAAAACGTGACATTTGATATTGAAAACAAAAATACATTATTTTATTTATTTTCTTTGATTTAAAAAAAAAATTTTTGTTTCATGTAAAGATTTATCAAACGCATACATTGTGAACAGAAATTTAATTAAGTTGTTTAATTTATAACATAACTTTCAAACAAGCTGTTTTATTAAATGTAATAGAATTTTATTAATGTTGAGTTGAAGTCAAGGTAATTACTTGTCATTTATGGATTATATATTTATATTGTTTGAGCGTTAGTGTCAAAACTTAAATTTTTAACTTTGACGCTTAAAATATTGATTGTGTTTTATACACAAACAGAATAATTTACTTAATTGTATAACCATTTATTTACTACAGTTATTTTATTTATAATAATTAGTTGTTAGAAAATCTCTTCATAAATAAAATTAGGATACTTTTAAAACTTGTAATTTAACTATCTATTATAACAATCTTTGAGGAAAGTTATAAATATAAGACTTAGCTTATAAAATTGAAATACTTTTAAACTATAAAATGAGCTATCGCTCTTTTTCTATAAAAAGTTTGCTATTAATAATTATAAAAATATAATATATAAAGTATAAAATTTTTAAACTAACGTATGTTTAATGAAATAAGTTATACTACATAAAAAATTGAATTTTATTAAATATTAACTGAAAAAAGATTCCGGAATTATTAATCAATTGCTCTGTATCGCGATATGACCTATTACACTTTACAAATCATATTTCACAGCAAAATATTTGACCATGAGACATATTGATATTAATTGATTGAGACGACTGTCTGAAGAAGTAATTAAACACTAAGCTGTGTATTACTCACGAAGAGTTTATAACATAATAATTAAGTGTAGTATCGAGACAGTCGAAAGGATTGGCCTTCATCTTGAATCTTGAACTATAACTTATGTGACAAAAAATTCAGTATTTTAAAATTTAGATTTTTTAAAATTTACATGTCAATGAAGGTTGAAATTTTGGACTTTAATCAACTCTAAAGATAAACAGCAACGGAAGAATTTCTATTGAAAAATTCAAACTCTTACTGTTTCGATTCTTTTACGAGGTTGCATTTATTAGTTCAATTAAAATGTACGCTCTACATTCGAAAGCTTTCTTTATATGCACAACAGTTTTTTTTCATATATCCGAATCTCATTGATTTCCAACAATAAACCGGAAATAAAATACGTTATGCATGGTCTTTAGCGTTTTTGCTTTATTCCAGTTTATAGTCGCATGCTTACACTGCGCCAAAAAATATACCCGTGAGCGTGAGCAAGAAATCGATTGCATAACTGTCTTGAACCAGTAGTTTATCTCATTAATCGAGAGTCTTTTTAAGTATTACCCATGTGACCAAAAGAGGGATATCTTATTACGAAATGTCCGATAATTTACATACTTTACATAAACTTCAATGATTATTTATACCGCAATTTATTTTAGCATCAAAATAGATAGTCTTCATTACATTATCTATTATTTTAGATTTTCTTCTTTACTACACTAAGGAAAAATATTTCTTTTGAAAAAATGAGCAATTTCGTAATAAGAAATTAATTTGTTGAAAATTTTAAACAATTTTATTTCTTATAGGTGAAGAAATCAAATTTTTTCTCATAGTAACTTTCTTGGTGAAAGAAAAGTTTTCTAGATTAAAAAAAAAAAAAAAATTTTAGATAGACAACTTGTAAATTTTCATGCAAAATTGTTTTTTTTTTTTTCTAAATCTCGAAAACTTTTTTTCAACAAGAAAGTTACTATAAGAAAAATTTTGATTTTTTCACCTAAAAAATAAAATTGTTTAAAATTTTAAACGAATTAATTTTTTGTAAAAATGTCCATTTTTTTCAAAAGAGATTTTTTTTCTCAATATACAATTGAATAAATATCATCTTCATATCTCTTTAAACAACCATAATAAACTTTGAATAAAAAATATTGTTCTTTCTTTTATAAAGTATTTTTTCAATAATATTTAATATTAAATATAAAAAACTTTTATTTTTTGCCTCCTACAGTCACTGGTAAAAAACAAAATTCATAATTTATAGCTGAAATATTTAAATAAAATTAAATTTATATTTGAAAGATTTATTGTCATCACAAGAAGAATAAGACGTTTTTTTTAAAAATCTTTACACTTTTTTCCTCTTTGGTCTTACCATTTATTTGGAAGATCTCAAGGATCTAGACTATGGCCGATTAGGTTGTCGACTTGACAAAATCCTTAGCATTCCCAATGGACGTGTGGATTTTCTCAACTAAATTCATGACATATGTGCAATATATAGCTGTATATTATTTTTTTCTTACCAAACAATTGGAAGACTTCCAGCTCTGATTGGCCGTCGCTTGTAATATATATCAAAAACTGGGAAATACTAGTTCGGAATGGCATTAAATTCAGTGTTATTGTTCTGTGACAATACCTGTAATATTTTACAAAGTCAACTATCGAAATTTTTTTAATAAACAAGTTCAAAAAACAGATAAATGAATTGAGCGCAGTACAGTACATAATAATAATCGACTAGGCGTGCAATTGTGAGAGAACAATTGTTTTCATAGATTCGGGAATTTCATATATGAAAATAATCTGTGGGAGATATTTATCTGTTGATACGCCTACGCGAACTATAACTAAATATATAATATGAGTTAAAATCGCATATACAAACAATAATACACATGAAAATATTTACCTCTGGTTATTCATCATACTTTTCTACGCTATCTCTTGCGGAGAAAATAAATTTCAATTCAATCCTCTCGGGAATCCGTTGGCACACTGTATACAACAAAATAATAAAGTCGTAGGGTACAAAAAAAATAAATTGTAGAGATAAAAAAGGAAAATGCGTAAATCGAAACGGAAAAAGATAAGATAAAAAAATAGAAAAATTTATTAAATTTTATCCTACAGTTTATAGTTAAAATTAGCAAATAAATATGTCAATTAACATAATCGCCCGTGTGAAAGTTTTTTTATAAATAAAATAAAATATGATGTTAATTGTGAACTAGCGAATATTTTATACCAACTTGAAAAACTTATAGAAAAGTACAAACAAAGAAATAAACTTGTTTTCTTCTTACATCTTTATTTTTATTTTACTTTTATTCTTCTAGTCTCGATTTTTCTAATTATCTGACTTGAATTTTATTCGGGTGCGAAGTAGAACGAGGTGGCTAAAGGGAGTTGTAAAAAAAGTTGAGCCCAGTATATATAATCTAGAAAAAAGTTTCCTGAAACTTTTTTTATGTGCCAACCAAGATTTTCTTCCCAACAATATCTGAAAAAATACATCGTTAATTATTCTTTTGCGGAAAAAAATGTTTCTTTTTTAGACGTGTCATCCTAGTAAATAAAAGCCAGAGTTATATCTTTCACTATCAAATAGCTTCTGAGTGGTGCCGGTTTACTTTTTAATCTACATACTGGGCAAAAATTATAAATACAGATGAATTAGCAGCATAACTCGAAAAATATGTCATAGATGTTCTTGATTGGACTCATTAGACAAACTGCTCAATTAAATGCTACAGCGTAGATTAATGTGAAACTCGATACTCTGACGACATATATTAATCCGTTTTTGTGTTAAATAAAAAATTACAGCAATGTTAACGTGTGGTGTCCAGAATTTATAAACAAACTCAATGTATCTGAAGATATATATAGTAAAATGTACTAATTTTTTTTTTTTTTTTTTTTATTAATAATAATCTTAATTATAAATCAAAGCCTTCTTTTTCCTTGTTTTAATATTAATTTTATTAAATTATTTGCACAACGGCTCGGTAAAAACTTTTCGCACTCTTCAGGTGTTGCTTACAATTGACATTTTAATTTAATTTACAATTCAATATAACATAGTAATATAATACCAGTTTCATTTAACCAACCCATTATAACATCAATGTCAAATTTAATGCTATTATAATTTTAAATGACAAATTAAATTAATTTACTTGACCGTAAAATAATAAAATAAAAAAAATAGAAGTTTTTATTAAAATGTTGGACAAATAATTTTAAAAAGTTAATGTAAACAATTTTATCAATCTTGAATATTATTTAAAATATAAAAACTATAATAGTAACAAAATTTTTAAAAAATGATACAGTATCAATACAAATTATTATGTTGTAACATTTTATAATAATTTATTATTTCTTCAAGCTTAATATTTTCCCTTAATTTTTACAAAATATAATATTTATTATTATTGATAAAGTTGTCTCAAACTTTAAAGATAAACCATCTTTAAACATAAAAAATAACATTCAAATTTCTTCTTTCTCGATTTACAATAATATAATTATTATAATCATCGAACCTTTAAACGGCGATAAAAAGTGACCTAAAAATAATTAATAATTTTGCCATACAAGCGTACATAAATATTTATGATTCAGGGATGCCTGAAGGTTTTGTATATATGTATGGTATTGTATTGTGCCGAGGATCGCGAGTCAATGCGTATTTATCACCGGACACGAGAAGCGCTCGGGGAGGAACTGAAAGTGATAATAATGATGAGAAAGCTGAATAAAAAAAAAGGGATAAAGAGAATAAGAGTTCGAGTACATCGTATAGTACTATATATTACATAATAATATATATATATTTTATATATTACATGCAGGTATAAAATAAATAAAAAGAGATTATGAGTTTGCGAAGCAACAGCAGCCGCGGCAGACGGCCGAGTATGTGATGAGAGTCACTCGTTGTTAGCGCTGACGCGAACTTTTCCCACTACACCCTCGAACTCCAAGTCGAGTTCCTCCGACACGCAACCAGTCAGATATTGCAACTGACACGGGATTCAACCGGTGAAACTGTGCCGACTTTGTCAAAAATCGAGTCTGAAATTCGCATATTTCTTCTTTTTATTTTATTTGAGTTCTTACTCAATCTGTGATTTAAATTAGGCGCGTTGTTTCAAGTTATCGGTAAGATTTTAACAGAATAACTTAATAAAAAAAAAATTGTCATTTCTTCTTTAGAAGAAATCAAAGAAACAAATAAAAATAAAAATTAAAAGCTCTTGAGCTTCTTAAATCAAATCGGTTCTGAAACATGTTAGAGGTCAACTTAAACTTGTGCAACAGGTCACACCAAACTGATGGTTAAAAATCTGTTAAATAATAATAACTTTAAGCTGAAATAATTTATAATCAATCGACATACGCGACGTTAATCTAATACTTACATACGACTTGTGGAATAAATTTTTATACCACGAGCTTTATTAATTTAATATCCCATCAAATGAAGAAAATGTATTTTTTATTATGATTAATAATAAAAAGTGATTGAATTTAGCAGATAATAAAATGTCTTTTATTGCAGAGAATCTTTTTGAGAAAATAACCGACGAGATTCGATATCAATACAAACAAAAATTCGAATGACATTAATTTAACGATCTCTATCATTTGATACCCGAATACGCATAAACGTATAGATCCATACTCCCTCTTCGACACCTTCCATTGGAAGAGAAGAAAGAGCCCTCGATCTCCTGCAAGAGAAGCGGATCTCCCAGTTCACGTTCAAGTTGTCCTCTTACACCGATCGGCACGTACGAAACCGCGACATCAGTACTGATGTAACTAGGGAGGACACGAGAGTTAACTTCCAGGGATGGAATTTCACCTTATCAAAAAAATAATTCTTTGATCCTTCGAGCCAGCATTTTCCTTTTCTTCATTTATTTGATCCATTATTTTTATATTTATTTATATTTTCATCTCAAGCCGGTCTCACAACCTTTTTTCTTCTTTGAAAAGAAGTATTACTACCGAGTGATAAAATAACGTAACAGTAACAGTAACAGTGATCCGGGTGATTGAATAAAGTCACGGAATAAACGAATAAAGAGGATTTTTTTGTTCGGGAGCCAGCCAGCCAGCCAGCCAGCCAGCCAGCGGTGCAATTCTTCTATAAGAGAGTAATCGTATACCAGAAGAATGATCCAAATTGAATGAGGGTAATTCAATTCACTTGTGTATTTGTGGCGAGGATATACTGATAAATGTATTGACTATTTTCCGTCCGATTTATCAACGCACTTTCAACGATTGTTTAGTGAACGTTGAAATAAATAAAAAAAAAGTTAACTCAACTCTGGAGTCTCGAGTGTCGGATTTAATGGTTAAAATTACCGATTAAGGAAAAACTATACTATAGTTACTATTTATTAATAAAATAAATAAAATACTCGTTTGTTTATTTAATAAAATATAAAAATAAAAATATTATTACGATTGCAAGTTCAAGTTTGCGTATAATCTGCAAATAAATGTAGGTCATCATAAAAGTATTTATATTTATATTACATAAAATAAAGTTTAGTTAAATTTGAAAAAAGTGTTAGATATTTCTTCTTTTTTTTTTTTTTTTTTTTTTTTTTGTTATATTTCTTCAGCTTCCCCGATTTACTCTAAATCCAGTGTATACATCCATGAAATAAAATATATCTGGCAGTGACATTGATGAACAGCAAAAAAATAACACAAAATGATAACAAAATTTATTAAAGAACAAAAGTCATGTTTTATTGTGTTAAATCGATAGTAGTGAAGAGAAAAAATGTTAAAAGAAGAAATAGGGTTGTAGGATGATTGAAAACGGAAAAACTTGGGTAGGTAGTGCACGTGAGGATGATGATCGCTTTAAAATAGATTCGTTTATGTTCGAAAAGAAAAATATCAAGACTGAGACTGGTATCGAGAGTGTTGCTGTGGATATTGACATTGATATTGGCAGTGATTTTGAGTGGGTATCTTCGATGCGATTCAGTGACAATTACACGAATTCATTGACGGGAATGCTGACGGCAAGTGTTGAGGCGAGTTTTAATCAGTCGACCACGGAGAGAAGAGACGCGCTTTATGTCGTTATACCGGTAACCATTATTTATGCAATTATTTTCTTAACCGGTCTGGTGGGCAATGTCTCGACATGTGTTGTTATTGCGCGAAACCGCTCGATGCATACGGCCACTAATTACTATTTATTCAGCCTCGCGATTTCCGATTTGCTGCTACTTGTTTCGGGATTACCGCCGGAGATGTATTATATCTGGTCCCACTTTCCGTATATCTTTGGAGAGTCTTTTTGTATGATCCAGAGCTTCGCTGCTGAAACATCTGCTAATGCAACTGTACTTACAATTACGGCATTTACTGTTGAGAGGTAATTTTTTTATAAGTATTGAATTTTTTTCGTTGAATTGTTTATGAGCGAGGGATGTGCTAAATTAGGACATTAGGGATGAATAAATTATTTTTGGGCTTAATTACAGTTATTTTTCTTCTTTTTCCTTGTTATTTCAAGAAAATTATAATTTAATGGCAATTGAAGATTTTATTAATTAAATTTTATGGTTATTTTTAAATTAAATTAAAAAATTTTGGTGAAAATATTTTTTATAAAGAATTTTTTTTTTTTTTTAAATTGAAAAAAGGATATGTTATTTTTATGATCAATTTAAGAAGAAAAGTTAATTATTTTTTCTCAGATTTAATAAAGATAATTTAAATACGGTAACATGTATTTTAATTAGTAATAAAAATTCATGAAGTTTCTTGTTGTACTTCACCAAAACTCATTATCTTTGAAGTATTTTGATTGTACTTGTAAATTTTTAAAATTATAGTAATTAAATTTTCAACTTAACAAGTAATTCAAAAATGTAATTATTTTTTTTTTTTTTAAATAATTAATAAAAATAAAATCTGAAGCTTAGTAATTATTTAAAATTAATTGTTAAACTAGGGATATATTTATTTATTCATTGAAATTTGTAATTCTTTTTTTTATTAATTTAAGACTATAATTTTCTGAACAAACTTAAATAAAAAATATATTTTTTATTAAAATACTTAACTTGAGAATATATATTGAAAAAAAAAAAGTTTTAAAAGCTTTAATTCATTAAAAATTAATTATAAAATCAATAAAATAAACATCAATTTTCCAGCCCTTTTATGAATCTTTCTATGGAAGAATGGATAAGTTTAATAATTAAAACAAACATTAATAATAAAGAAAAAAAAGTGTCTTACGAATTAATCCCACTTACTTTAATAGAAAGTATATCTAAAAGAAAAAGTAGCTTACAAACTTAATCGTTTGAATGGAAGCTTACAGACTAAATAAATATAAAAAAAAAAAAAGGGAACTCCGAAGTAAAGCAATTTTAAAGAAATACGTGAGATAGTATTTTATAAAAAAAATAACTGATGGAAAAAAATATTTACATTGTTTGTGTAGATACGTAGCAATTTGTCATCCTTTCCTGTCGCACACAATGTCCAAACTTTCACGGGCTGTCAAATACGTGGTCGCGATTTGGCTTCTTGCCCTGTGTTTGGCCATACCGCAGGCCATTCAATTTGGGGTGGTTTATTCACAAGAGATGAATGGGACAATGATAATGGATACGGCAATGTGTTCCGTCAAGTGGGTAATAATTGAACACGCTTTTGAAATATCAACTATTTTATTGTTCGTCGGGCCGATGACTATAATCACCGTCCTATACATACTCATTGGCATCAAGTTGAGACATTCCAGAGTGCTTACCACTATCAAGAGAAATCCTTTTCCCGGCTGTCTTAATCACGGCGATAGTGGCAGATCACGAGGCCTAGCTCAGCGTAATGTCATAAGGATGCTTGGTAAGATTTTTTTTTTTTTTTTTATTACTTTATTAGCTTTTTTATTCCAAATCAACCGTTGATTAATCTCCATTTTATTTTTCCTTTTTTTCCATTAGCAGCACAAAAAATTTATTCACTTCTCGACTAAATAAATAAAATTTTTTAGCTCAACAAAAATATTTATACAAGGATCAATTTTTAAATACCATCCAGGTATTTACGGTTCTATTTTTTACTTTTAAATAACTTAAATCCAAAAGTCCATAAATAAATTTTTTTAATCTTAATCTACGGCCTTTTATAAAAAAGTAAAAAAAATTTCAGCCGTCTGTAATATGACAACTTTTTATAAACATCAAAATGCCTTTTGTGAAATATGTCAAAAATCTCTGGAATTTTTTCCATTACGGGCAAAAGAATCGATTGAACTTTGCTTGAAGTTCTCAGAAAAATTTTAACGTTCCTATTAAAAATAATTACCTGTCATTTCTTCTTTTTTAGTTTATAAAAAATTTATCCGTAAGATGGAAGTCCAAAATAATCAGGAAATCCAATAATAAATTCAGGTTACGACTGCGAAATTTAAATTAAGAAACTCGAGATATAAATATTGTTATTGATTAACTTTAAAATAGAGTTTTGGTATTTTCTTATGACTGCAATTACAAGCCTGATGTGTCGTAACGATGTTTATTTTTTACCCGGATTATATGCAGTATAATCGCAACAGATGTCTGGAAGCAATTGAGTTCCCGTCGCGTGGCTTAATGATACCGTAAATGATAATGATTGTCATAAAAGCTGAGCTAAATATATTATAGACTTCAACAATGCAATAAAATAATAAATCCGAGGTGTTTGTTATGGACATAAAAGCGTTGGTTTTAAAGATCAAGTTGGCGATCGCGACATTGCATTTATACAAACCGGTTGAAATTTTTTTCGCAATCAAAAAAGACCAAGCCAAAGTTGATTCGCGAAAAACCGTTTATGGGCAATGGACATTGAACATTAAATTAAGGCTCCTGCACATTGATTTCTATAAAACATTACTGCAAGAAGTTCAAGCTCATTTATTTATCTGTATCAAGTACTTCTGTAAAAGAGCAAAGAGCTCTTAGTTTCAACCTCAGTAAAAACAGGAAGCGCTTAATTATTTCTTAGAGAAATTCTTAAACGTTTAGTTCAAAATCTCGTTTATTATTTATAGATAAAAATGACTTGTATAAATAAAAAGAATCATCTTAGCTCAGAATTCCATTCCAAGAGTCGTAATGATTAATTTCAATTGAACTTAACGAAACTTAATAGACTTAGATTGAATTTAAAATTTTTTAAGCTAAACAATTTTTGCATTACTAAAAATTAAAATAATCTTTTTCTTCTTTTAAATAATTAAGTAAATTATTTAAATTTTATTCATTTCAGTGTTTTAACAAATGTAATAATCCGAAAGAACTTCCTGCTGAATTATAATAATTGAGAAAATTTTTTTAAATCTCCCTAATAGCTGTGTAATAAGTATCCGAGGAGAGAGAACTCCATGAAATATTCATTAAATCGTAACTAATTCTTTGTGAAGTATTAAACCACCCGCGTAATGAATTTAAGGAAGCTTAACATTTAGAATGAGTGATTATAATTAAAACTCTCTAAAGAGATATTTACATATTTTAATTACTGAATTATAAATTTATTATTTGCTTAACTGTCAAAGTATTTATATCTCTATAAGAAGTTCTGATTGTGACATATGTGCCGTACAATAAATCTGTCGTAAAACAATGTTTTTATGGTTTTTTTTTTTTTTTTTTTTTTTTTTTTTTTTTTTTATTTTCATTTTACTGATTAAATAAAGAAAGTCATAAGGAAACAAAGAACAAATTTTATTGGTAAAGTATTCGGAAGAAAAAAAATAAATTCAATGGTTCGGAAATATTTTGTTCAAGGTCAAAAGCTTACAAATCTCATGTTAATTAAATAGTTTAATTAATTTTCATAAAACCAATCCTCTTCCAGCGAGCCACTTTTTTAATCAAAAAGAATCGTCTTTCCCAATTAGTGATGTATTCAATAAAACTGAATTCAAAATAAAATTATATTCGTACAAGGACATCCGTATCTCAGTCTCAAGAATAAAATTTTATTTTATTTTGTAAAATAACAACCAAAATGTAAATATAAATAAACAGAAATAAAAAGAAATTGTTTTGGTGAATTCCGCGGGTTTGATAGCTGATTTTAGTTTTATCTTAAAATTCTTGTATAGAAGATCGTTACTTACATTTGAGCAGTGGTATTGCGAAATGTACTTCCGGGAAAATGAGGAAATGCGACGATTCAAGTTTATTTACTCATCCAATAGCCACACACACGTCCTGTATCTACAAACGTAATCAACCGGACAGTAATGATAAGTACGTCTGTCAATGTATATTCTGAGATTTAGATCTCATCTCTCCTTAATTTCATAGTATATAGCATATCTTCAATGTTCTCTTCTCTGATTACTTGGTTAACAAAATATTGTTTCTATTTATTTGTCTATCGTCTTCTTCGTATCTTTTCATTAATTTATTTACTTCGATAAAAGCAATAACTTGCATCTGACGTGGAATATTAAATGCAAAATTGTTGCCTGCAAATGAAAAAAGGGAAAAAAAATTGAACGTTCGAATAAGTAACGAATGCAAATGACGTGTTTATGAAATCGATACAACAGAAAGTGGAAATAAGAAGCTTATTATGAGATTTTTAGTCACATCTTGGAAGAAAAAACTCGATGATTTTACGTAAATTTATATTTTTATTATGAAAAATCTTGTTATGTATATAATGTAACTTTGTTGTTTGAAAAAGTTACATAAAACTTTAAATAAGTAAAGGAATTAAGAATTTTCACGTAGATGAGACTTGAAACTTTTGTCGGAATTTAAGATAAAAACGTGATAAGATGATGTGTGGGCTAAAATTTTTATCTCACCGTCAGCAAAAAGGTTACAAAAGAAAAAAAAAAAAGATCTTCGCGCTATTTTAAATTCTAAAACACATTATTTATGGAAAGGTTAATAAATATGAGTGGTATTTTTAAAATCCCAACAAATGTATTCGGAAATGAAAATAATTTAAGAACATAAATAAATGTATTGATAAATGGGATGCCTATAAAAATATTTTGATTAATTGAGATTTTTTTCACGTATTTTAAAGAATCTCTGGAGGCTACTAAATCTTAACCCTCATCTTTCCATTCAAATAATGAGATTGTGTACCTAAGTCTATCTACTTGATATTTTTTATACTTTGATTCATGACTAATTTTTATGATTTTTTTAGCAAACAAAATTTATGGCTGACAATATCTGGTTAAAAACTTGTAAACTTATTTCAATATATTCAATTTTTAATCTAAAACTTTTTACTGTGTACTGCGGATATGAGTTTACTCTTTCTGTTTTCTTTACTATTATGCTCACTGTTATCTGATAGGAGATAATAAGTTTCAAGAGAAAGGAAATTAAGGATCTTTGAGGTTTTTTTTTTTTTTTATTTTCTCATGAAATCCTTTATTCTTTTAAGAAACTTTTAATACATTTGTAATCAACTGCTACTTAAAATGCACTCATTGTCGGCAGTTTTTGTGAAAAACTATATCTAATTCAATTATATTTTGACCATCTACTTTACAAAAAAAGAGATTACTTTAATTTAATTAAACATTAAAATATTTTTTAAATGATAAAACCTTAATTTTAAAAGAAAATTTGAATTTAAAATTGATTTCAAGCGAGTGAAGAAATTTATTAATATTAAATTAGCAGAAGAAAAGAAGAAGAATATAAAGTACTGTATTAATTACACAGATAAAAACTAATCAACGTAAAGTCAGTAGCTGCTGACTGTCCAAGTTCATAAACTTTTAAAATTGAAGTAATAAAATAATAATCCTCTCTTTTAGTTGAAAGAAATAATTTTTCTAGACTCCAGTAGTAACAGATTTTTTGATATTTAAGAAGCTTTATTAACTGTTAATAAGTAATTTAATAAACAATTATGTAACAGTTTAAATAAATGAACTTTAATATAAAAAATAAAAAAATGAAAGAAATAGAAGCTGAGCGACATTGAGCGTGGTTAGTATTTAGATGGGTGACAGCTTGGGAACACTACACGCGGTTGGCACCTTCTTTCGTTTATTACACGCTTTTTTACACGCTTTTTTATTAGCTTCACTTGTATGTCAGTATGTCAGTATGTCATTCAGTATGTAACTCTCCGTGGGTAATTTGCGCGCCTGCGGCCTTCCTTGGTTCTAGTAGCCGTTTCTCAGGCTCCCTCTCCGAAATCGAACTCTGATTCCCCGTATTTATAATATTTATTTAAAATATAATTATTTTATTCTCACTAATCAATAAATTACTTACTGAAAATTTAATTTAATAAAAATAATAATTTAATTAATTAATCATTTAATAATTCAATAAAAATAATAATTATAATAGTTTAAAAAAACTAAAAACACGCTTTTTATAGAAAACCAAACTAAAAAATAGAAAATAAATTTAAATTAAGAATA